GGCTACTACGACATCCAGACGCCATCACAATTTGGTGTCATACTGCTGGAAGATTTGCGCCAGCGTGGTTTCAAAAACATCAACCGCCTTGAGGGGCTCGACATGGACCACGCAAGGTGTGTACTGAAGAAGCTTGCTCAATGGCACGCAGCGTCGGCCACGCGGGTCCAGTTGAAGGGGCTTTATCCTGCATCTTTGACAACTGCATACTTTTTGGACGACCACTACGAGCTGATGAAGCAAATATATAAAAATTTGGGCGATGCATTTCTGAGCAGCGCGAGATCATTCCCAGGGAATGAAGAATACATTGAAAGCTTGGTTAGTATACACCAGGTCTACGAATAGGTTTTGATTCGAACCTGTTTTTAACCGAACCTTAGCCTTTATCGGGCTTTGAATCAAAACATGAACTGGTTTTTTTTTTTTTTTAATAGAGGGACCAAAACCTCCACGCGAAATGCATATGGTAATTTCGTTTCTGCCAAAAATGTTGCCTTTGGATAGCCGCTTTCTCTTTTCGTGTTCGGAACTGCGGGTGAGCAAATTGTACGTTCGTTTCTTAAATCGTCACACTCTTTTAACGCAAAAAAGTCACATTCTCTGCCCTGTAAAGCTCTGTCAGGGGAGATGGTTGCCCTGAAAATCAGATGGTTGTTTAAAACAACAATAGCATGAAATGCGTGAGCTGGACAAAGACAAGAGGAAAAACCATGCCTTTTTATAGGGTTGAGTGTAACATCAAACACATTTTGCACCGGGGAGGGGCAACGTTTTTTGGAAGAAACGAAATTACCATTAGTTAAAAATGGCAAAATTTCTACATTAGTTTTTTTTTTATTTGATGACAACTTAACAAATCGACATTATATATATTATTGAAGAATGTCTTTTGTTTACATGCGTCTTGTATAATTTTCCAAATTTTCCCACATTATTGTCATGGTATGTTTTGTACATACATACTTACATATATCGTATGTATGTATGTGTTCTATGTATTGGCTCAAAAAAATATGCACCATTTGCACCGAACTGCGCTTGAACCGATTCTGCCATCGGTGAAAGTTTTTTTGTGTAGTTTGGATCACCGATTTTTGAACTGAATTGCATCTTTGTTATATTTTTGCCTATTTGTATACTTTTGCAGGAAAAATTTAATTCGCACTACTTTGATAGTTTCTTTAATGCTGGCAAAGTTGATCCGAATGAGTTTAATGTTTTGAACCATGGAGACTGCTGGTCCAACAATGTTATGTTTCAATACGATGCGTTTGGCAGGATCAAAGAGACATATTTCGTGGATTATCAAATTCCAAAGTATGGCTCGCCAGCTCAGGACTTGTACTACCTCATCCTTTCGTCTACGAGCTACGACTTGAAATTGAAGCAATTCGATTATTTCGTAAAATTCTATCATGAAAATCTGGCGGAGAGTCTCACTCTCTTGAAGTATCCCAAGCAAATACCAAAACTGAAAGATCTACACAT